AGCGCTTGATTGCACAGAATGCATAAAAATCATATGGCAGCTAGGGGTGTATAACCCAAGGCTTCTCCTTACCTAAACTGCTTGCTCGTGGAATTTATTTCCCTCTCATCTTCACACAACCTTATCATCAGAGGAAAGCAATGAGCTCTTTAACTTATAACGGGGTGTAACACACTGCTGCTTCCGAACGCATTACGGTCATAATTCCTCACTCTCTCCTGAGGCTCTGGCATGGAGCTGTGCTCCTCCCTGGATGCCTGACTGGCATTGGCCTTACCTGCCATTGTCAGAGGCACTGAATGGGGAACCCTCTCTGCATGCTGCCAGCTGGGAGGCAAGTGGCACTTGGCTGTTTCGAGCCAGGAGGGACCCACTGGTGCCACCACGGCCCCTCCTCACAGAGCCCAACACAAGGCTCTACTGAACAGGAGGGGAGGTCTGAGTTACCCCAACTGCTTTTAGCTGAAGGTATTTCTAAATCCTTTTGATGGGTTAAAGGAATGTTTTCTTTTAATTTCAAGAGTATTTTGGAGTTTGTTCTTTCACCGTTCTTTCAGACAAATGTTCATTTTCTGTTTTGGTGTTAATCTGCCTGGTGTTTTCTTCTTTGCTTTCCAATGAATTGTTTTCTATGTTATCTTTAGTTTTACCAGCTAAACAATTTGGTACTTAAGTTTCTTTTCAAGAGATACCGCACCAATCCCCTTCCCACTTACTGCTTTTTCTGGTAGCTGTTTGCATGCACCGCTCCTCAGTATGGGCAACCAGAAATGCAAAAGCCTCTTGCCAGTGCGTCTCATGCTTTTCTATCTGTCCCTGATGAACTATCCTGATTTCAGAATAGTTTCAAAATGGGAAACACATTAAGGGGCCATCCTTAACATGACTTCCTGTGTCTTAAAAACTGTGGGTTTGTAAATATTTTATGTATAGACAAAGTCCAGAAAGGACTCACATCCAAACTTGGTTTGCAAAGAATCACTCTGTGAGGAAAACCAACTGTAAGAGCTGGAACAACCATCATGCCCAAAGGACCTTCAGTCTTTCTACTGAAATTCCTAACAAATCTGACAATTAATGACATTTCCAGGAGGAAAAATCAGGAACTGACTTCAGGGCAAGTCATTCCACCTGAGGCACGGGAGAGCCACTTGGTAGCTGAGTTGTTTGGTTGGGGACATCCTTAAACTTGTGCTGAGAAATATACAAAGAAAAATTTCTACAATAAAGTAATATTCATTGGAGACCTCCTGTTCTCCTTAATTTTGTGAACAGTGATTAACTACATAAGTTCTCAGTGAAGTGTACCATCAGGTCAGCTGTGTTTGTCAATGATCAAACATACACCTGGCAAGGTATTTTGCAGAAGCCTCTTAACAGAGATATCTGCTATTAATTAAAAGAAACAACCATAAATTCAAGGGCAATTTATATTTCTAAATGTCTACAAACATGTCCTGCTGAAGTTTAAATACAGCCAAGTTTAGATCAGAATCACTAATTGATTGTAAAGGTCATGCCTTTTGAGTATATGCATATTGGAGGTGAAGTATTAGAGTGTGGTATTATACTTAGGCTCAGTGCTAAATTTGGATTAAATGGCATTATATTGATTTGATAAGCTGCTCAGATATGCTGAAGCTTTAATTGAATGTATTAGAAGATGTTAATTCTAACAGATACACCCTTAAAAATATCTTAGGGATTTGAAACTTCTTTCTCATACAGGCCTTCACCAACCTTCAAGAAAGAGAAAGAGGAATTTTGGAGTCCTTAATCTGAGTCCATGTGTTAATAAATATCTCAGGAGAGGTTCTTTCTTTTCCTTTTCAATATGGATGAGTGCCCTTTGAAAGCCAAAAGGGAATTGATGTAATCTATTGATTGCCATTTAAACGCCTTTAGAAGCTAATTAGTGCAAAATGTAAGATGTTTCTGAGCAGAAACAAGCAACAACCATGAGAATACAGGAGGGTTCCTCTGAATCTTAGATATACTGGGAGGACAAATGCCCTTATGCAGAGAATCACCAACAAGTGAGGAGTGTAAACAGTGTCTGCAGTGAAACTGTTATAAAATACCAGCTCTGGTTGGAATTGTGAGAGCAGTGTTGGAACTGTGAGAGCAGTGTTGGCATTGTGAGAGCAGTGTTGGGACTGTGAGAGCAGTGTCACGCCAAAGCAGCCGCTGTGCAAGCCTCAGGCAGCAGTGGTGTACCCAGCTTAACCCCAGAGCTGGGACAGCCTCTACCCGGGAGACACTGCCATGCTTAGGGAAACTGCCAAGGCTGGAAAATAGGTCAGGAGCTGGAGTCTGCCCAGGTCTGAAGTGGCTCAAAGTCATTACCATCTGTTCATCTGAATTGAGAGGCTGGTATTAGTCCAGTTTCAGGTATCCACACCGTAAAAAAAACCTTCAAAAGTGATGCTGTCTGGAAATGGGGCTGGCAGAAGGGAGCCATGGCCTGGAGGAGCTCCTTCTAGCACATGCAAACAAGATGTGGGGATCTGAAGCTCACTCACATGTCATCCCTTTATGATGCGTCAGGAGGCAATTTTTCCTTTCTACTGTCAGTCTGGCACCTTCCACTGACCAACAGCAGTGATTAAGATCAGGATTTGACTAATATCTCTGCAAAACATTTTAGCCTTACACCTCTAGAAAGAGATTTACCCATACAAGCTTCTTGATGGGATTTTGGAGAGACTGTCCTGAACCTCCTGTATGAAGCCATGGCCCAGTTATAAAGCCAAACTCCCTTCTCACTGAGTAAATCATCACGAGCCACTCAGCTAACTGCTGTTTAAACTAGCAAAATGCTGTGGGAAAATAGGTGGAGGATATTTCCCTTACACAGAGAATAAGCATCACCCTGTACTCAAGAGAACTCATGGCTTTTTCCAACTCGGAGCACTGTCATTTCCACTGCTGCCTTTGGTAGCAGAGTGGAAAGATATGCCAAGGGAGAACAAGTACCCTAAAACACAGAGAGGTGCAGTCTGTGCTGCAGGACCTTGGAAAGCAAGAATCCTCTAAGTTATTTAAAGTTTCAGCCACCTTTACTGTCTTATTAAGTAACTAATAACGACTGTACATACGCATTTGTTCTAAGGCAAAGCTTTTGCCCTTTTCAAATCAACTGAAGAAGACTCTAATTACAACACTTTCCTGGATGCATCACTCTATTCAAATTAATTACTCTGCAAAAGTTAATACAACTGAAATTGTGTTGTGTGTCTTGAGAATGCCAAAGACAGAGAAGCACACTTAGGGCTCATTCTTCTTCCCACTTGGCCCTTGCAGCCTTTCTCCACACTGCTGGGGCTCTGCTCTCGTCCATCCCCATCCAGCTCCTGCCCTGGCCTGATGGAGCTGGCAGCTCCTGACAGATCAGCTCATTTACAACCCTGCTTTTCCCAGCACCAGCAGAGAGACACAGCTCATCTCAAGATTATTAGCAGCACAACAAAGCATTCATACATTTACCAGACTTTGTATCCTTTCACATGAAACACTCATTCCTTTGATCTCTCTGTGAGAAGGGGTTTCCTTGTTGTGTCAAACTATTAAGGAAATGAAGGAACATCCCCATACAATTCCTCTTTCTATATGAACTGCAACAAGATAGTCAAAAGAAGGCATTTTTCCCACTAAGATCAGTATAGTGACTATAAACAGCACCAATATTTCTGAACAAATTGTGCTACCTCTTTTGACAGGTTCATTCAACTCGTTTTTGTTGTAGACATAATACTGCCTTGGGTTGATAATTAAGCAGAATAAAAATTTTTATATACTAATGTCTTACAAGGTCAGTGTTTATCTCACAGAATTTTAAAACAAACAGAAGCTGCTGTAATGTACCTGCTACCACAGTTAATTAAGAACCACTGAGTATCTCTTTTAATACAAAGACATTACAGGCAGAGTGCAAATCTTCATAAAACACCTCTGCATTCCCTTCCAGGTTTACATCAGATGTCTGTGTCATGCACTGAAATTTTAAGTAAATTCAAGGAGCCCTGAGTATTTCTCCAAGGAGCCCTCAGTTTTTCATCTGCCTACAGCAGCAAGGGGTTTTTTGCCTCCCTCCTCTCTCCTGCTTGCACCTGGCCAGTATGCATGACAGGCAGTAATTAGTCCTGCAGCACTGACCACTCTTCTGTACAAAAAAATGTTGGTTTGAATGGCATCTGATTGGCACTGCTGAGAGAGAACCAAGAGCTCCCTGAAAGGCCTGAGCATTCCAGTTCACCCTTGGAAAGAAATGAGAGCTTTTCAGGACAACGTTTTCAGAGACATAAAAGTGGACTGAGATCATATTTAGATTTTCTAATGCCTCTCACCAAACTGTCTGCAGTTCAACCTGTGGCTTAGCAAGAGGAGAAAGGAAGTATGATCTTAAATAAAAGTGTGCACCTGCCCCTACCCCCAAATGTTGCAAACCCTGCATCTCCCTAACCAAGGTGAAAAACAGCCAGAGTTCTGGGGTACAAAATTTTTACCTGACTGTCAGATACAGCCACAGCCAGATGCAGGTGAGCAGTGAAGACACAACAATGGCAGCAATCATTGCTCCACCAGGGATGAGCAGCACATAGTCCTCCCATCCCCCTTCATCCTGGCAAGTGAGCACCGACGTCGGATGGCATTACTGGCTGCCAGCTGGGCACACACAGCAAGTAGGTCAAGAGCATCACTCCTTGCAAGAGTTTTCTCTGCTAAATATTGTGCCAACCACTGCATTATTGCTCATCAGACCAAGGCTCTGAAACTGGTGTTACAAAACCCTTCCCGTGACAGCAGAGGTTGGGTTTTCCATCTTGAGATGTTTCAGGTTAAGCAAAACCACTCATTTTTGATAAAATGTCTTTTGATATTAAAATCTGCACTCAGACCTCTCCTGCTTGCACAAAGCATAGAATGGCTATTACATCTGTGTAAAATCAAACCTCTGAAACCCATTAACTAGGCACTTACGGGAGATTTAACAGACTTACTCTAAAGAATTCTTTGGTTGAGCCTGAATCCAAAGTGCCATAGGCTATTTCAGTTTGTTTAGCCAGGTCCTCTGCACTCTCTATGGGTGAAACCATCCTTTCCACCGTAAGGAAGGCAGCGAGATTAGCAGTGTAGGAAGAGATAATGATGAGAGTGAAGAACCACCAGACTCCTCCGACAATTCGCCCTGAGAGAGATCTATGGAAAAACACACATCATTAAATTGCTTTGAAGACAATCCTTGATTTTTTTCTTTCTTCACTGAAGAGAAGTTCACATGCACAACCCTTTTGTCCAGATCTTCCAGGTATCTGTGAACAGGTGGACTGTGAGCCAGCTCCTGATAACTTCCCTCAGGAGTGAAAAATCAGTGCACACCTGGTCTTACCTAGTGCAACTCTTTTTGTAGTCTTTCAGTGAAAACAAGAGCAGTAATTTACGAGATAATTCATTTGAGGAGAGGAACAAGCTCTCCTGACTTCCACAAATCCTTTGTTGGAGAAGGTTTTTCCCAGAAGATTTCTCTTGTCTCTATGTGCCCAGCCTTTCCCTGTGCTGGACATGCTGGGATATCACAGCATCATGTCTCTTTGCCCAGCTTAGAGGGCACAAATGCACCTTTTACTGCATCCACTCCCAAAATGTAACATACAGTAAACTGTAAAAAGAAATCTCAGTAAGCATGCAAAAGAATGTACCAAAAATGATTCGGTATCCTCCTCTCATCACAACCTAGCAGGAATTACAAACTGAATTTGCATATTGAAGTAAGAAGAGAGGCTGGTTTATGTTTTATGTTAATTAAAATTTGCATGTTGCACTGTTCCAAGTCAAGCATATCCCTGCTTTATAAGCACCAGAGCAACAGAGAAGGAAATAGAAAAAAAAACCCCTGTGTTTAGTTTTTGTTGCAGTCTTTGAGTTTTGTTTTTTTAAAAGGGATTCCATAAGGACTTAAGAAAAAGCCTATTTGCAAGCATGTAATTACAAAATGCCTAATGGTCAGCAGGTCTGGATCTTGTCAGCAAGAGCTCTTGATGCTTTACACAACTGAACATCAGCCTCGAAGTATTGGATTTGGGCTGAAGGGTGGCAGTGACACTACACTCAGCTGGGTGGGGAATTTCATTGCCATGTACATTGCTTGTTCTTCAAATACAGCTTGTTGACCAAGAATCATTTCAACTGCTGAGACAAAGCTATTTCATGTTTTCCCTTAGCTGTACTGATACCAATGGAGGAAGAATCAATCTCAGACACGTCTGTGGAACCTGGGTGCTGCAGTCCTCAGTTTGTGTGAAGAGAAGAAATAGAAAGCTCTTACCTGTTTATTTGTTTCCTTCAAGCCCCTCAGTGCCATCCCCAGACAGTGGGTACAAGTTGTCCTACCAACAGATGGAGATAGGCAAAAACCAAAAGTCTCGTGACGTGCCCCCACCCCACCCACATGGGGGGGTTTGCTGGTAAACTGCCCACTCTTGGCCAGAGCCTGAGATTGCCTGAGCCATTAAAAAAATGCCATCAAATTATTCAGGAAAAAAAAAGAAAAAAATGTATCCATCCAACATTAAAGATCATAACAAAGACAAAATCACCAACACAATAAAAACAGAGACCTCAATCTGGAATATGGGAGAGGGATGTGGAGAAAGGTGAAGCACCACTGTTCTCCACTCTCCTCTGCCCAAGGAGCTAAAGCAGCAGCTCCCACTGAGAGGGCAGATGAAGGCTGGTTCTTCAGAGCAGGCTGAAGAACACATCCACCAGATCACCCACAGGTGGAGGAGGCCTCCCTGCCTGTCTTGATGGCCTCCCAAGAGGGTAAGAGGCTTTCAAGTTCCAACTTGGGCTGTGGAGCCATTGTGCTCACTACCACAAGGCTACTGAATTGCTGCAAAGGGAACTTGCAGCAATATCAATAAAAAATACTGCCTGCAGTTAAGGAATCTATCTACCTTACTCTACTTTCTTTGTAGGTATCATGTGCGTGGGATTTCAGGCAGGGCTGCAGGCCTTTTTGGCCAGCTTCCTTAACAGGTAGGGTTTTGGCTTTAGCTATTTGGTAAAGCTTGATACCCTCTTAGTTGGGCTGACACAATTTTCTCCAACTACAAATCGGTGCCTGCTGAACTTGTCACATAAGGCTTCCTTTGGAGCCAGCAGAGAAAAAGAGAAGAGCCTGACATTCTCAGAAAGAGATTTATCTCACTTGCTGTAGTGTGGGATAAATCTAAAGTTGTCCATCTGTCTCATAACCTCTGAGGGAACAAAGATGCCTCACTAAACCTACAGTCTCTTGCTTTCAGATGGCTGAACTCCTTTCTTCACTACACACTTTCCAACTTCAGAGAAGACCTGGAGTTGAACTTCTCCTCCCTGCAATGATGTGGACAATTTCAGAGACAGATGGAGGAGGAGTTTGGCTAGCAGGTCCAGCAGATGAAACATCTACTCCCCTACTGCAGGACAAGTTCTATCTGGAGTTTCGAGGTTCCCACGGCCCTCTTTGCTTTAAGGTAGGTCTTTAAACAGGAAGAGGAAGAAAAGACTTATCAGGGTGTTCTGGTAAATTCAGTGGAAGCATTTAGAATTAAATAGTATGTGTTCATTTTCCCTACAGTTTCCCATAGGAAATCTCTTGCTTGCATTGGTAGCTGCCCCTTCTGTTGGTAGGACAGATGGGTTGCTAGGATGGAGATGTGCAGAAGAGAAGCGTTTTCCAAACCAGTGAAAACTCAAGCTCCCATTACTGCAACAATAAAAGGTTTGTGCCAGGCTGCATGTTCAGACAGCATCCTGCACACTGAGAAAGGTAAAAATACCTCACCCCAGAGGTTGGTAACCTGCACAAACCAAGTCAGACAGATACAGGACAAAGACCACCTGAGAGGCAGGAGAAGATGGGAACAGAGGGCTCCCTTGATGAAAAAGGCACTTCCACGAGGGTCCTACGTGCAAGAGAGGGGTCTTGCTCAGAAGAATTGAGGTCACTTCAAAGAAAACTGGATGTCACTAGAGTTGTTTCTCCACAGTCTTCCAACAAGCACATAAAGGATTAAACAGCAGCTACTATGGAGCATCTGGGCTGACATAGCTGTCACTTGGTGTCACAGGATGAGGCAAAAGATAAATCAAATAAACCACAAAGTTGACACTGAAGGAAAGACAGACAGAGAGACGAAGAACAAGAACATGGACAAGCATGGCCTGGCAGCCTCCTTGACCAAGGAACCCCAGTTCCCCCCGTCCATCTGCTCAAACGAAGACTCCTTATACCCACTGCAGGGGCTGGTGTAGAGGGAGAAAAAGGGTTAGTACAGGTACACTGGGCTGGTAATCAGAGAGTGCTGTTTGGTTTATACTGCAAACCACAGAAATGTTTTTCTATTACGCAGATAATAATTATAGAAAACTCAATCAAGCTTTTAATACCAGCACCACTGTTTCTGATGCAAGCCATACCTGTCCACATGTGCAATAATGTAATTAAAAACAATCAATTAATGCTTTAGCTTAATATAGTTTTCCAAATCACCTCAATTTGTATGGCATTATTTTAAAGTGAATTAGAGTGCTAACAAATAAGAGGAGCAACACAGATCTGGAACAACAGGATTATAACTCAATTGTCAAAACAAAGTCAAATGGTGATTTCAAAAGCAAGTAAATAGGAAGAGTGCATACCTTGAGAGGAAATTTAAAAGGAAGCATGGAGTCAAATGAGAGCAAATTAGTAACAAGAGAAAAAACAAAATAAACATTGAAATTCACATTCAGTTTCCAGGAGAACAATACATATAATACATTCAAACAAAACATCATTTATGAAAATAGCTTGGATTTTGTTTCTGCTCAAGGCCATAAAAGATATTTGATTTCCTATATTATAGATACATAACAAGCTTCTCACGCTACTCCATTTTTAATTGGGCTCTTTGGATCGATACAAGACAGTTGTTATGCTGACAAACAACCCTGAACACCTGTGCTAGTGTGGAGCCCCTGATACCCTGAGTACAGCTCAGCTGGGACCCCAGCCCGCTGCTCGCCAGCCCTCGGGGACACAACGGGCACACACAGCATCTGAAGCGCTGGCTTGAGATGCTCCAGCACAGGAATGGCAGGGGGGGTTTCAGGAATGTCAGGCTACCCTCTCATTGCTACTGTGAAAATCCCACAAAGACATTCCCATGGCCTTTAATAGGAGTCTCTTGAGTCTTCTGCTGTGAAAGCAGGGGCCTAGAAATACACCCTCTAAATGACCAACCTTGAGACAATGTTTGATAACCCCCTTGTCTTTTTTCATCAGCAATTAATTAATCTAGCCTCTTTGTTCTACATGAATAAAGAGCACAATGAAAATACATGCTCTCATAGAGATTTCAAAGATACTTTTGCTCAGAACTGTGTTACAAATTTGACTTTTTTTCCTGATTCCATTTGCTGTACGCATCTTACATAAAAGCAAGTTTAATAATCTACTTTTGATCCCTCAAAAGTGAATTTTCAATGCTTTAGCTCACTATGCAGAAAACACAGCAGCCTTTGATAGCAGAACAAAACTGCTGAAATAAATGTTGATTACATCAAGGGATGCACTAGCCCCCAGCCTTTGGCTGCTCTCTGATTCTGTTTAGACGACTCCTATTAAATACAGAGAGGAGAGTATAGGGATATATCCTCTGGAATATCCACACAGCATACTCACCGAGGATAGATCTAACTAGTCATTAGATGTCACAGCTGTTCCACACAAAGGCAGCTGAAAGAGCCTTTATCAGCAAGTACAAAAGTGATCTCTCCAGACTGCTTGTCGGCATCTCTCTACGAGTGCTGTACGCTCTCATATAAGAAATTTATTCAGACAAAACTCACAATGGAAGAATGAAGCCCCTTTTAGTGGCAATAAAATAGTATGAAACAGTCATAGAGTCAATGCACTGTGAATGGTGTAACCGTACAAAATACGGATTAAGAATGGAATACTTGGGAATAGTCCCTTCTACAGAAAAGAAATTTGACATTTTAATCAACCTAAATCAACACATCAGTCAAAGAAACAGTGTTTCTAGAATTTAAACCAAAGTATTAAATTTTTCTTTTTTTTTTTTTTTATTCCTGTTACAATGCATATAACTGCCTGGAATGTTATCATGGAAGATAACAAAAATAACTGGACAACATCTTCAAATGAGGGCCATATATTAATACTGAGCTAATAGCTTCTGATGGACAGATAAAATAAATAGACATACTGCTCTCTCTCTCCTTTTTTTTTTTTTGGTAGGTATTTCCAAGGCACTTATTGTGGTTGTATTGAAAAAATCCAGTGTGTTCCACTTGTTATATAAGGCAAATGGATGACTATGCCAAAGAGTCACATGAGAGCTTCCCATAAATCCTATGCACTTTTATTTAACTGTCAATAACCAGACCTAGCAGAAACAGATGCCTGCAGCTTTCCATGTGATGTCCCAGTGCTTATTTCCCGGTCCTTTATATTGGGCACACACATGTTCAACAGCAATTTAAATGTTATCTCTACTCATCCCTGTTAACAGCAAGCACTGGGGCAAAGTGTCAGTGCAGGACTGAGGCACAAGGCAGAAACAGGGAGTGCAAACAGGGAGAGGAGGCCAACAGCTGTCAGTGCACAGGGAGCAGCACACCCAGACACCAGGAACTGGGGAAACTAACACACACAAATTTATAGGATGATTACTGTACTCTAACAGACAAAATCATGATCCTTCCCAAGAAACTTCATAGAAATTTTGTCACTTGCTTCAATGAGGCAACTCATGACTCCTAATGCTGTATGGATCAGGAAAACCTGGCACCTTTTCAATGATTCAGGTATTGAAAAAGGCAACCTGGAGACCAACAAGGTGCATTTTGAATGTCAGTACTTAGGGAAAAGATCTTTCTCTTCCCCTAAATAGCAACTTTTTAAAATGGAAAACTGCTGTTAGTCTCAGCAGGTGTTTTTAATAAATAAAATAGCGGGAAACTGGTTATTAAATTATTGTCATAATATACAAAATTACTGCTCCATCACTAAGAAACTAGATAATTTTACTGCTTATAACAAGCACATCACCAAAGTATTTTACCAGTGTAAACGCAGAAACATGACAAATGTTATTAAAAAAAAAAATCTGTGGTATGCATTGTTCAATTAGAGGGAGCTTCACTATTTTAATTTGGTTTTTAAAATACTTCTATAAAAAGAAATATAATTCTACAATAGTTAATAGCCATTCTCTCTGTTAAAACTGGTACTAATATCAATCATACTTTACTACAGCCTTATCCAGAAAGAACGTCTTCATGAGTAAGAAAAATCTTTATGGAAACTGGCAATGCTTATTAGACCATATTGACTATGAACAGAGGGACAGCAGATCAGACTGGACTGCACTAACAATACACACAGAGGACAGCAGCACAGTACATCTGCAGACATGAACGTGTGCAAAATGGTGGTAAACACAAGGATGAAAGGATGGTTCAAAAGAACAAAACTGGAGAAATTAGGCTCAAAAGAAAGTAAAAAGACTAGCAGGAGCCTTGATGGGAGTGGAGATGCTTTAAAGTGCTGTTGCATGTGACTTTCAAAAAGAAATCTTATTTTGCAAAGCAGAATGTGTTATATGCACCAAGGAGATGACCGTAAAATGAGATATGCAGCAAAAACACGGTAGCCCTCCAAGCATTGCTGAAAACAGAAAACCCTATGCATTTTACAGCCTCAACATGGTGAATATAAGTTTGGCAGAAATGCATAAATGGCATTATAAGCAATGCTACTTACTCTGGAGGCAAATGTTAGCAAGCATGGAGGCTTGATGAGGATGCTGAATATTGAATGGAAATGTCAAAATAAAAAATTTGGAATTAAAAAGAAATTTGAGAATGTAACATATATGCACCATGGTATCAGAAAATGACCATAAAATGCAAAAAGGTGATGGAGTGATATGGAACAAACCTTGGAGAAATATCGCATCCTTGCTGCATAAAGGCACCCAGGGAAAACCAAAGGCTGTTAAATATTCCAAACTCATTTGGAGGGTCAGGAGGATTCTGAGGGTCACGTGGTTCTTCAGTGTTGTCTTCCAAGTGCCACTCATAAGGGCTGAATCTGCTGACTAGGAAAAGAACTACGCTGACGCCAATGTAAGCAAAGACTATACACATCCAAATTTCATAAGCCAAAGGATCCAGGAAAGAGAACACGCCTGGTTTAGATTTCTGAGGCTTCTTGATCATGATGGAGATGCCCAAGCTCATAAAGGGTTTGGAAAAGTCTATGACTTCTTCTCGTACCAATGTTATGGTGAGGGGGGCAACAGCTATATCTGCTCTCTGAAAAGGGAAAACAAAGCCAAGTTAGTTACAAGTCATACACAACAGAATCACAATCTAGAGTCTCAGGCTAATGAATCAGATGATAAATTACAAGAGTGAGTGGAAATAAATTCTTTGCAGACTATTTGCAGTCGTTGAATTTAAGGACTACATGATATTAACAGAAAATTATTAACAAGTAAAATTACAATCAAATCTGTGCAAAGGGCTCATGACAGCAGGAGATATTTCTATTAAATTAAAATGGATGAATAAACACTACACAAATTGGACAGTGAGATGGCAACCAATACAATGTCATTTTCTAGCAATGGTCTGTAACCACCCATTTGTCTTGAAGACTTTAGACAAATTCTGTGTTTGCTATGTTTTAATTTTCTCTTTTCCATTCTTTCAGCAAGTTCTCTTGCCTTACTGACTAGTTCAAGATCTCTAAAAGGAGCCCATGAGAAGTAATCCATCACTGAATTTCAGCTGCACTTGGGTGCTGCTACTTGTATGCTCCTTTAAAACTCCACTGCAGTAAGGGACAGAAGGGGAATAGGAAACAGACAGACCCTTTCTGTGGTCACTGAAAAACAGTTAACACAGATTTCTGAATCCCTGAGGAGTAAATAGCCTGGATAATCTGAGGAGAATGCAGTCTGCCCTCCTGTCTTAGAGACCTTGGCTCTACAGGCCTGTAACAGGCTGTGCTCTGGGGCTGGGACACCTGGAAGCACAATAGCATCTATTGCATCATTCATCATTCACCTTCCCTTCAATCTATACATCCTTGCTGGAGTCCATGGGTTGGCAGGCATGTAAAAACAAATTACTTAGTTTCCTGATTAAAAATGACATTCCAGAATAGAATTTCAACATATTTATCTGTACCTGTATTTCTATGCTACAAAGATTCAAGTCATGCTACTTAGATACCCTAGCCTTGATCCAGCCAAGTACTCAAGCAGGTGTATTTGAATGAGAGTGGAATGGAATGCTAAAAAAAGAGTCCTTTTCATTTGAAGAGTGTTATGAGAATCTACATACTTACATACACTATTTTTAACACTCTAACTATTCATGTTATTGATATTTTTAAAGAAGGTCTTTCATCGGTAATTAAGAATTTCAGAAAGAAAAAATTGTTCTTAGGGAAACCTTGACTTATCAGTACCTAAACCACTGTGCATCTTTTAAATCAGATTTTTTTCCCCACTAGTAAACAGGCATCTCTTTCTGGTGGAAAAATAAAGCCTGATTAAGTGGAAGTTTGAATAAAAGTTAATGTGAAATGTTAATAAGATATGATTAAAATCTGTGCTGTAAAATAATTGAATATGTCTTTATGTAAATCTGATGGTGATGTACGTGACTGTCATTAATTTCTGGTCTGTTCCGACTCCTAGCTATTGGTTTGGTTTTTACATTTGATAATCAGAAATGGCAAAGGCTTCTCATACAGCTGATCAGAGCATCATGGGCTTGGTGCCTGCTGGTGCTCAGCAGCACCGTGCAGCCATCCCAGAGCACTGCTCAGGGCTTGCAGACCAAGGCCAGTGACAGCCTTGTCAGATGAGGGCTGGCCCTCCCCACAGCTGCCTCTCTCTGCAGGGCACCCATTTGCACACACAACCCCAAGGTTTGCTCAGCCACCCAAGAATATCTCTTGACAATTCATACCAGCATGTACAAGGTACATGCACAAGTTCACTGCTTGGAATAATCTGATAAAACCATGCCTGGGCATGTAAGGAAGCCACTTGGAAATCAGGGCCCCGGGTGCCCCCTCTGAAAGCCCTGCTCAGTCCCTTTTGACATGTGTACTGGGACTTTGTCATGCATACTGGGACACTGCCTTTCCCCTTGAGTGGCCCTTTCCTCAAGGAAAAAATCTCAGCTGATTTGTGGTCACTTACTGCAAAAATCTAGCTGAATGTGGCTTGAATATAAAAACTGAAAATGCCTTTGGATGCCTGGATGTTTCCTGGCAGATCAATGTGTTCATCAACTAAGTAATGGAGAGAATGGAGGGGAATATGGGTACAGTGAGGTAACGTCTTTGCAAGATGTTGGAACTTGTTCACTGAGGAATTCTCCCAAAACATATATTTCTCTTATAGCTGCTGCTTGTTGAGCTCCTGCTAAATACCAGATGTCTGCAGTCAGGGTGAGATTCACACAGAATATCAGTATTGAATGTCATCAGAGTCCACAGCCAGCTGGAAGACTGAACACTTTGACCATGCCACTGTACTTCCTGTTGAACTAATGAGGTATTTACAAATTAATCCTTATTAGAGCAAGCTTAATGGATCAGGACCCCTGTGGAGAATTAGCAATGGCTTCATGTGAAGTGAAGCTTAGGTGGGAAGCAGGTGCCTTCCTGCCAGGCACTTCTGCACATGGACTGTCAGCCTTGGAACACCCCATCAAGGGAGGGAAAGGCTGCTTCAGCTGTAAGAGCATTTAGTTTCTGGAGCATTTTCATGGACTTGGAGAATTTTAATTCTCCCAAAGTGGTATTTTAATTGCCAAAGTAGACATGGTGGAACTCTTCCTAAGTGCTGATGCAGCATGCAACAAGGTCTGTATCTCCTCCATGCCCAGCTGAGTTCATGCAGGATGTTCCTGTGGGGGGATGAAGCTGATGCTGAAGCACAGACAAATTATTTGTTAAAGCCCTGATTGTTATTATGTTCATATCATACAGGGTAGATTTCTTTGTAAATAATTTAAAACTGCCTTATAATATTAAACGGGATACAAATACTAATTTTCTGATACATAGCCTTCCTACTATTCCTACCAAAGGCATTCACTGCATTGGAAACACCAAAACCCACCCTTATCCTTTAGTGAAAAAATGGTTTCTGCAAAGGGAACAAGCATGGCCACACAGGGGCTTGGGAAACCAGGGCACTGAGAGTGGACCAGATACAATCCAACACCCAAACCTGGCTGCTCACCATTTCCCTGAATATTAGCTGCACTAGGGATGTCAAAAAATAGTTCTCTCTTTGCTTATTTATTTAGAGATACAGTATTTGAAATGGAGAGCTTATGGAGAGGTCTAAGCACCCTAAAGGATCATTAATAACTGCAGCACGGTTGAGAATTTCCCTCCCTGTTATGGCTGCAGATAAGCAGAACCCATACAAATTGAGCTCGATTAAAAAGAACACAACCACAAACATGCCCTTCTTCATACAGAACTGGAGAGGGGTTTAAGAACCTCAACAACTGAGCTTTGCTAATCACTCATGACTAATGGTGTTTCAAACATCATCTTCACTGCATTTGAGCCGGGCAAGAAATGTCATGGATTCCTCTGAGGCTTGTTCTGTCTTTGCCTACTAGTGTGGGAGGGATGGATTTAGAGAGGACAGGCAGCACAGAGGCGCTGCCCACTCTGCTCAAAGACGACCCCAGGGAGCTGCAAACCTCCAGACGCTTATGGGGAGGGAGAAAAAAAATAGCAAATGGAAATACCCTTCTACATGGAGAATGAAAAATGATAAGATGTTCCACCTCTATAATCCAAAAGGAGGAATGGGATTCTTCTGCTTACAGACCTACTGATGACTCTCAAATTCAAAGCTGTGCTCTAGAGACAGTGAGAGATCTGGGCTGTGCTCCTGCCTGCACAGGCAATGGGTCACTCCTGCTTGCAGAACTGAACACCTCCTTTGCTCAAGGGTCACTTTTCAAGAAGTGGGTCTGGACTGCAGTCACTTTGTGTGACAGGAAGCCAGGCAGCACCCTCACTCTGTGCTGACTGTAGGGGAGGGACACTGACTGAAGGACTTCCATCAGCAGCCAAACCTCTGTGCACCCCAAAAGTGCTGAATGCAGGTACACAGGGGCACCTGAAGAGACTGCACTGCAATGGTGACTGTCTCAGAGCATGTTTTAACACTTCTCAGTGCAGTCTGAGTTTCCAGGTACCAGAAAAGAGCGTCAGACAGAGCAACACATCACCTGTGGTATTGGCTGGTAAGAGCTACCTTGTAAAGGCAGTCCAATATCCCCAAGGATATTCAGGGTGTGTTGAGAGGCCAGGTCATGGGGGCAATGTGGTTTTAACACATTAGCTCACACTTATTTAAAGCCAACAGGTCACACCTGACTAGCAACATGCTGCATTGAAGTCTTAATGTGCCCTAGCTGAGCAGTGTAAAAAGGTATTAAGGTGTTAAAATGGCAGCGGGCCCTGTCTGCCACAGTTTGTCAAACTTAAATCCATTTGTGATTTCTGTGGATGCCCACAGCTCATTCTGACACACTCCTGCCATTCACAGATGGAGACATAAAGGCTACATCTGCTTTTGGGGCGGTGAACATGTGTGCTTCCTCTGCCTGTGCCTGGACTCAGGTCAGCCAAAGCCCAGACCATGGCAGTGTGGCTCTGTGCCAGGGCTGTGGTCCTGTCCCCCAGCACAGTTCAGCCTGGCCAGGGACCCCACATCTGTCCATGTGTACAGGACAAGGGTCGGTCTGAGCTGCAGGGCAGCAGCAACAGCTGTACCTGGGCTTTCCCCCTGCAGAAACCAGGAGCGAGGAGCAAAGGAGAAGCTTCACCCACTCATAGCACAGTCATGCCACAGACTCGGAGCATGTGGGAGATTTCAGGAAAAGTAGGGATCAAATTAGTCTGCCTCTCTGCTATGATTCAAAGGCTGTATGTGCCACGTTTAGTATTTCTGCATGCTGCTGGTAGAGCCAGAGGCCAGCCCCACCCGGGTGGGTCAGCCTGCTCAAGGCAGGAGATGTGCTGGCAGTCCCACTCTGACAGACTGCAGAGTCTGTGTGTTCCGGGGACTGCCCGTCCCTTACAGCCCTGCTTCATTCCTTTGTGCTACTTTACATATTGAGAGGTTTTCATAAAGGCTTGTTTCAACCTGAGCAGAGTTTTAAGCGCTGTAAGGTCTGGCTGCTCTTGTCATTCCCAAAGCATTTGTAGTTACAATTAAGATCTGTGTTAAAACTACTGTCAATTAGCCTCAGCACTGTGAAAAGCACCAGGCCAGGGGAGGGATGGCTTCCCCTGGCTGAACAGGGAAGGAAGAACAGCAGCCTGCTTTAAAAGGGGAAGAAGAAATAAAAGCCTACAGAAAGAGGCTGACCCCAAAGAAGAGAAGAGACGACTGTCTAGTGCTCAGCAGCTGGTGGGTACAAAGCCCCGAGCACAGGGGCCGAGGGAGCTGCTGCTGCTCCTCAGCCCCTGGGTCACTGCAGGACAGCACTTGCCTTGCTGGACTGCTCTGCTGGTTAGATTTAAATAGCAATCCAGTCTCCTGGACTAAGAGTGATTTAGCTACTTCCCTTTACCTATTTTCTATTTTTATTCTGTTGAAAATTTCCATCATTCTTTGGAAATTTCTCTTAGTTTAAAAAAATAACAGTGCTTGAACGTGGGTATCTGGTGATGAAGAGTTATATTTTGATACCCCTGGAGTGAAAGAGCAAAATTAAAGGGTTTTTTTCAGCCTGTACTGATACTTTTTGACTTATGAAAAATCAAAAACATTTCCTTTTATATAAAATTTAATTATTATTAATTAGTATTAAAATTATCATTACTACTACTATCACTAACATTTAAAAATTGCTAACAAACCACAAAGCTTTGTTATTCCCTTTCCAACAAGCCTGCTGGGTTCTCCTGCCTGAAGCAGAGGAGTTTGGGAATATCTGCTCAGGCAGAATTCCCTGCCTCCAGGGCTGCCATCCCTCTGTAACCAAGTGCTTGGGCATAGCCTCTTGCAAAGCCACAAGGCCCAAGGGGCAGAGCTGAGACTGTCCTTGACTGCAGGGACCCAACAGCACAGCAGACTTTTATGCCCTCCAACCAGACCTGACGTGATATGAGACAGGGGAGGGAGCATTTCTAATGGGAAGCATTTCAGTGTGTAAATGTCAGTGTGTAACTCTAGGGACTGCTCCAGTCAGCCCAGCTAATGCTGACCTCCAGCGAGTCCTTCACTGGAGTCAGGGCTGTGCCACCCTCCAGACCTGCAGCACGGTGACACAGCACCCCTGCAGCTCTGGGTGCAGCTCAGTGCAGACTGGGGACCCTCCCCTCCAGTGCAGAGTCTGGAGGCTGCCCTTTCTCCCCTGACTCTGCTGCCTTCCATAGGAATTGAGAGCAATAGTAACAATGAACCGGCACAACCCCAACACTAAATGCAGTTAATTAGGGTTTTAACATTAAAATGACAAGCCATTCATTTCCTATGATTGTGCCAAGAGCAATTTTAGAAAAGAGTTGCATGCATGGGGCTATGCAAAAAGGGTTCAGTATTCAAAAAACTGGCTGAGATGCCCCAGCAGTGCCAGGTGGTGGCAAGGAGGCTGCTGGGTCAGGAATATGCTGTATTTGACAAATGACTAGTCACTGCTTATCACTTGAGACAAATGCAATCTAAAGGATTGTGTTTCTGCCACAGCTCAGCTGAGCTGCTGGATAACTGGTACCAAAACCAATCAGGCCCCTTTCATCCTACCAAGTCTATCTTCCACAGATGCTAACAAAGGTACTTAAAATCTAATCTGCCTCTTGTCTTCCCAAAATGGAATCCGGAGGAGCTAAATTTGAGTAATTTTGCTGACAAGATTCACAGGGGCATTATCTTAACATAGTTTTAGCTCCCTAATAGAGTTTTAAGCCCGTAGAGAGATAAAGGAAAGTTAGCAGGTAAATGAGGCGCTTGCTCCAAATAATTAGCACTTCTAGAGCACTTCTCATCTTCAAAGGGCTCAGTGCACATCCTCGTGAGTGTGGTACACAGCCCCATCTGCACGGATGGAGAAAGAGGCCAAGGGTATTTCACAATGTTTGCAAATAGAGCTGGGAAAAGGTCTGGAGGGCTGCTGAGGTTTGCACTCAGAGTTCAGGGGCTGTTTTCCCTGCCTCCAGAAAGCCAGGTGGATTTCCAAGCAGCCTGCAAGCTCAGTTGAGCTGGGCAGTTTGGGGAGCTGGCTCAGCAGCACGGGGCTGCAAGCATTAACTTGGGTCTGCACTCAAACCTCACGGGACACATCTGACCTTTGAATAATTGAGCATTGCAGTGGAGAGGCTTCAGTAACAGAGCTCACAGCATGAGTACAGGAACTGCTGGGGGTCAGGGAGGGAAACATTCCTCAATTTTTCATTAACGAGAAAACACAGATGAAAACTGTGCTCAGAATACAAAGGCACTGACCTTTTTGCAGGGGAAAAGGAGAATGGTGGGTGGTTTTGGGGCTGTTTTAAGGAATGGTCTGTGGTGCCTGCAGGGCTGGTTTTGCTGGTGTGGAAAGGTCACTAGTGTGATTAGGGCTAAGTTTGATGCTAAGGAGGCAGAGCTCTCTTGAGTTAGGCTGGTCCCAAGAGGCTGTGGAAAAGGCAGCTGCAGCCAGCCTGCTTATCACACACTGGTTTGGGTTGGAAAGGACATTTAAAGATCATCTAGTTCAACCTCCCAGCAGTAAGCAGGGACATCTTCCACTAGATGTGGAAGTTTAGAGCCCTGTCCAGCCTGACCTTCAATGTTTCCAGGGATGGGGCATCCACTGCCTCTGTGGGCAACCTGGGCCAGGTCCTCAGCACCCTCACAAAGAAGACTTTCTTCCTAATATCTAATCTGAATCTGCCTTCTTTCAGTTTAAAGCCATTCCTCCTTGTCTTATCTCTAAATGACCCTCTAAAACATCCCTCCCCATTTATCTTATAGCCCCTTTAGGTATTGGAAGGTGCTCTACGGTCTTTTCGGAGCCTTCACTTCATCAGGCTGAAGAGTCTCAACTCTCTCAGCCTTTCCTCACAGGACAGGTGCTCCAGCCCGCAGAGCATCTTTGAGGCCCTTTATGCAGGTGGATCTTGTATGGCAGCTGCACAGACTAATCTTACTGGGCTCAAGACACAAAGGCTGCAGCCCACGTCACACCTTTCCTCCCCTAGTGTACACAGCCCCTGTGCTCTGTTGGCAGCAATTTCAGGCTGCCTTTTGCCATGCTTTTTCCACATGGTATGGTTATTTTGTAAGTGAAGGAACAAGTTTCATTGCTTGTCACTTGCAAGTACATCAAAAGGACCCAATTACAGCTGATACTCTTGATATTCCTTGAACCACACACAGAGCAACTGAGGGTATAGGTTTCCAGTGCAGCGTAATTTGCTTGGAACTGAACTAAACCTTTGCTTCAGAGGTTCTCAATGGACTTGTGTTCTCTGAGAGAGTGAACTTCAGTTTCCCAAATTGCACAACTGAGGCATGCAAAGTTCAGAAGATTTGCATAATGGCAACCCTCAAAGCAACAGGGAAGCAAAGAAGTAATCCAAGGGTCCAGAGCCTTGTTTACTTTCTGTAATCAGTAGATTCCCCTCCCTGCCACAGTACAATACAACAAAACCATTGTTATTTCTATAAAACATTTTCAAGTTGAACAGGCTACCAATTACATAATAAGGCATCAGGACTGACTGCTCCAGAGTAAGAAAACTTGTGAAAAATCTAGCAATTACTTAAAAAAGACTGATTTATTTGAAAATAATTATCTCACCAAGCAAGAATGATGATGCATTATCCCAAGGAAATTTTGAGGTGACTTTTAGAAATTACACTCAGCCACAGAACAAAAGGATGCAATTGAAATATGCACTTCTGCTCAGATATTTTTAATAAAGGGAAGCTTGTTAAAAATAAACTGCAAAAAAGATTTGGGCGGAATCACAAATCATCTCATTAGCATTTGAGGAAAAAAAAGACGAAATATCAGCTTGAGAAGTCTTTTCTGCAAAGCCAATTTTCTCCCCCTTCCATCTGGTTTAACAGTATTCCAAAATTCTCATTTTCAAAGAAGATTCTAAAATGGTAGTTCCGGACTGTTTTTGTTCTTACTAAACAAAGTGATATACACCCAATATAGAAATATAAATAAGAATGCAATGAATTAGCTTTTATTTATTTTTTTCCTGTCTGACAGTTGATTTTTGAAGCCAAACCCAGGGTTTAAAGAGAAAAAACATGTGGGTGATTTCACACCTGCATTACTTCTTACCCTGAAAAGCAACCATGGAGTTAAATGGGTCTGGTAAACCTCAAACCAAGATCAGTGACCCAGCAATGCTCAGCATCCCAGGTCAGACCTTTAATGAGAGGGACACCCCACCCACTTAAGAGACTGATAAAGAAAAAGGAGATCTGGCAAATGAAGAAGAAGCATATAAGGAGCAAACTGGAAATTCTGTTATAAACAAGAATCTGAAGTTTGCCCAATGCTACTTCTCAACATTTTGTGGACTCTGATTTGGAGAACAGCAGTAAAAAAGTGACACTTTCCTGCAATGAAACAATTAGAAAAGCAGACTATAAAAATGGCAATACAAAGAAATATCTAGAATTTTAAAGGTAGTATTCAAACAGATGATCTTTATTTTGCAGTTTATTAACTTTGAGCATATTTTTTATAAAGAACATTAAAATGAAGGTTAAGAGAAACTTACCCCATAGACCAGTTCACCCACCATGCCATTCCATATCTTAGTCTCAGGGTCCCTAGCTCCATATTTCCCATCTCCAACAATTGACAGTTTGTATTTTATTCCAACATGTTTTGCTATTTCAGAAGCTAAGTCTACACAATATCCTTCATATCTCTCATTCCCTTCTAGTTGTTCATGGTTTTTCTTATACATTACATATGGTGATTCCTTTGAAACAAAAGTAAAGATCAAAAGTCTATGAATGTAAAATACAGCTGTAAACCACACAAAATGAGAGCTGTTATTATCCTTTATATTACTGGCAAATATTTACAATATTTCCTGCTTTGGTACAGAAATTAGAGATTTCTGCAGCATAAAACTCCTTGGCTGGTCCTACAGCCACACATACTGTTGACTGTATTCCTAGTAAGGAGCCATTGAAGACAACAGGACAGACTTTTAAAGTTACACATTTGTTTGCAGAATTAGGCCTGATTAGACAGTCAAGTAGCATCACTGTAGCAATAATTCAAATTTTAGTGTTTAAAGACTGACATATCCAACACCTGTACCATCACCACAATTTCCTAAGGCCCCAGTGGCCAAGAATGGGGCTCTGATGGAGATATTTTCAAAGAAGCCTAAGGGAAGCTAGGTTGAAATCCTCAGCAGCATTTTTTGTTACTGAATTCCCTTAGCCTTCTTGGAAAATTCTAGTTGAAATGCTGATTATATCTCACTAAATCCACAGGAGTATAAAATACAATGCTTCAGGAAACAGCATAAAATTAACTCATGCTTAGTAGAACTGCAAAAAGCACAGAAGTTCCAAAGAATGCTGTACAGAGCAGGTCTGTAGAGGTGTTGGGACTGACACAGGTGCTGCTGCTCGTGACACACAGGAAGAGCTTTGCTCCTTTGGAATTGCACAGGAAAAGGCTGCTTTTCACCCAGTGCTAGAGCAGTTCCAGTCCTCTACAGGCTTCATTGTGCCACCCTTACTCAGTCCACAGGGGTTGAGTTTACAGGAGCTGTACCTGAGTGAGGGGTGCAAGATTTGACTCTACAGCACAAAGGCCAATCAATCTCTGTGGTCATTTACTGGCATGCATAATAACTTCACTTACATGAGGCACTTAATTGAGTTCAAGTGTCTGGGAAGCAGCAAAGCACAATGGTGAGCTCAGTGAGCTCCTCCTGTGAGCAGACTTACTGAAACATACATCAGTTAGCTGGGTCAAGCCCTCAGAATATCTCTGGAAGATACTGAACTTTCCAGGCACTTGAATTCACACAGTATTCAACATCTGCCTCCTGAGAAGGTGTCTAACACACCCCAGGAGTCACGTGCCTTGTTTCCTAAAAGCAAACACACTACGAACATAAAACTTACCAAGATGGTAGTGACTACTATGGTTCTGTTCTCCACAGATGAAGAGTCATTAGAGGGCAGCTGATCTAATGCTGGCACATATCTTTCATATTCATTCCAATAACCAGCCTATAAAAATGGAGATTGTTACCTCATTACATACCTTTACAAGGACTCTGGTACCTGAACGTGTAAGAGCAACTGTCAAAACCTAAGGCTTTGTAACATTTCTCATTCACTGTTTTTGTCATTAAGGGACTACATCAGCTTTACATCCATTTTCTTAAAGAAACAATGTTCTAAGCCCAGAGCAATTCAGCACAAGCCAAATATAGGTGAAAACACATTAAATTCTCCCTATCTCAATTCACATCAGTATGGTGCCTGTGGAATAAATTCCCATATATCTACAGCATAAGAACATACTACAGACAAGAAAAGAAACTGCACAGCATTCTGAGTAAAATTCTCTGATTTTGTGATTTTTATCCAAAACAGCCCCTGCAGACCTGAGCTGGCTTTAGATGCACAGACATCACTGGCAATGCAGGCACAGCTGCATTACCTCCTGTGTGGGACACAAAACCCTCTGTGAGCACGAGGTGACGTTATCAGTTGGCTGGTGCTGGCCTTTGGCTGCATCGCTGGGCTATCACAATAGCTTTTATATTTCTGCACAGCACAGGAGTAACACTGTTCTCTGCACCCTCCCGAGTGGCTGGGCCATGGATAGAGGTATTTGGTTATCAAATGTGCAGAATTGTTTAAGGAATCTCAGTAGTGATCAAGCAAGTTCAGAACCTATGTCCAGGTGAAATCTGGGGATTTAAGAGACTCACCTGCATATATTCTCCTCTCAGTACTTTTGTCACCCTGTCTACCTAATGTTTTTGAACACCTTCCTTAAACTTCTTTTGTAACACCGATCTAGGCAACTATCCCACTTAGGATATATACTTTATTTAGGAGACAAGAGAATTATTATGAAATGATAAATAAAACCAAACTTAATTTCTGTTCATTCCAGAAGGTTTCAATGGTTCCAGCTTCACTGTGGTTCTAGAGCCCAATATGGAGAGGGAGAGAAAGATGGAGAGGAATTTAGAAGACAGGACTAAGCACAGGACCATGACAACAGGTATTATGTTTGGCAGTGAAAAAGCTCCAGAAGGGTTTTAAGGGAAAAAGTTGTCTTTGAAGTTGATATGAAAACCAGTGCAGATGTTAAACAGTGTGAGTGGTTTAGTCCAGGAACTGAATGCAACAAGGTTCCTGGGATAGGGAAGACAGCATGAAGGGGGCACTCCTCAGGACCCTGTCATTACACTGCATCTCTAGTATTTTTGAATTTCATTGGTTTGTTGGAACAAGTATTTGAGATGGTGTTACATCTGGATCCATGTCTTGAAACTCACCTTCCTTGATCCAGCAGCTTTCATTTCATACACATCAATTGTGTAATTTGTTCTCCGCCCATAGGTGTCGAACTGGATGTTCCCTGTCATTCCTTGAACCTGCACCTTGAGGGAATAAACAGAAAAGTATTTTAATAAAAGACTCACTTTATTTTTTATCTATGTAAGAGACTTGTACTGCTTCTGACACAGCCAGTTGTACTGTTCAAAACAGTCCCAGTCCCCATTCTCTGAGTTCCAGCTGTAAATATTTGTTAGCACTCAGCTGGTGACTCAGAGTGAACTGCATTTAAATGAAATTAGCCCTGCAGGTATGTTAAATGTAAGAAAGGCTGATCCTGCCATGCTTGGTCATGCTGGGTTCACTGGTACAGAATGGAGCATCAGTGAAGCACAAGCAACAATTAGTGCAGTTAAACCCCTCACAATATGGCACAGAGTGATCTGCAGTTCAGACCAGAATGGCATCTCATTGTTCATTCTGGGAAGTGCTTTATTTTAAGATCAGTCCCAGTGTAGGAGAAAGGAACGAATGTCTTCTCTGAATGAGCACAGACAATTGTCTCTACTGCTTATGGGGTTTTGGTCTCAGTCAGGATGGATGGGAGTACAGACGGTAAGTCATTATCATTACCTACTCACATGAATCATCTGAAGGGGAAGTATAAAGTACTTTGTCTCAAAAAAACCCCTTTCTTATTTCCCTGTATGAAAGGATGAGGCATTTTCATTTATCACTTATCAACACTGACAAGCTGTCATCTCAGGCAGAAAAGGTAACAGTTTCAAACTTCAGTAGGGGAAAATTAGCTTTAATATTTAGCAAAAACTGTAGAACTTACAGGAAGAGGTGCTAGACTAGTCAAAGACAAACTGTTCAGGGCTGGTGACTGATCTGCTGGTCACTGTTCAGAGATGAGGTGTGAGGCTACATGAAACAAAAATTCCATGGACCCAAAATTATCCAGTAAGCCAAATTCTCACCGTCACATAGGGAGTTTCTTTTTGTCAGTAAGTGGATTTGAACCTCCTTTAAAATAGTTTATATCTCTACAGGAGTTGGAAAAAATCTGAGGTATTCCTGTCTCCAGAAAGCTAGAGAGATGAACTGCACTTTAAAAACCAAATTTGACCCCAAGAGGTTTTATCAAGTGTGGACTGAGCAAATGTATTTGTAGGGTAGTTGACACATAAGTTGCATCCAGATGTGAGTTGCTGTGCCTGCCTCTGGCATTTACTGGAAGCTGTCTGGCTACCTTAGCACAGCAGTCACTGGGTGTCTCACAGAGCTTGTTACCCTGGCTCCATCCTGATGCCCATTGAGACATGAACTTCATGCACTGGACACCTTTTGGCTTCAAATTTAATTTGTTTCTCAACTCGGGACTTAGCAAAACCTGGCTGCACTGAGAGAGGAAGGCTTGCCAGGACTCAAACACTTTTGGTGGCAGCGTGTGGAAGCAATTGCAGAGTGACTATCTGTAAGTGTCCAGATCTGTCCAGGTAAACTGTCTGCCACTGACCAGATGTGTTAGAACCAGCTTCAGAAACAAAGATATGCACAGTTTTCAAGGCTGATGGGAAGAAGTTTCAAGTAATGCCTAACTATCCTGCCAGCAAGATTACTATAGTGAGGCACTGGACTTCCTGCTGCCACAGGATAGATATTTCAAGGATATCTTGGAAAAAACATTCTTATCTGAGTTGATGCTACAGAATGGAGAGCAAAAATTATTAAATTATTGGGTTGTTTTTTTTTTTCCTGAGCAAAGATTCAAGATCATTGTCTGAATAGAAGGAGATAAGGTGATGGACAGGATGGGTTCTGGAAGGCCATGTGGGATGATCTTGGGCAGCTCTTGTTTGAGGTGTATGGAAACCTCGCTTACATGACTCTGAATAGCTAAAAAAGTTCAAGGCAACCAGCTAAAAGTCAACCTTCTGCATTTTTTGCTAATCGTGCCTTTTAATATCTTTGTAATATGTTTTTTTAAGAAGTTCTCCTAAATAAGGGAGTGTCCTATTGCAGTGTTGGTTTTTTCTATTGATATGAATACCTCATATATCAGTACAGTACAAATTCTTTATTGTGAAGATTGAATTTAGTTATTTCTCTTCAAAAGTGTGCAATGCTACACTAATGAATACGCAGTTAGGGAATATGTTAGGAGGTGAAAAAAAGGCATAAAAAAGCTCTGTCTCTTTTTATGTGAGACTGAACCATCTCAGTTTTAAGAGTGATAAATCTGATTATAATCATCCACAACTCATTATGATATTCTGGTATAATCCTCCCAATTTGGTAGCTGAGAAAAAGCAGTAATTAAGCTAAGTGCAAGAAGATTGACCTAGGATTTGTTTACATCTAACACAGGCTTAATTCTGATCTCACTCACTCCAGTTCTATGCTTGTCTAATATAATCAATGCTAACAGGTTTGTTTGAGAGTTACTTGAGCCAGATTAAAAGCTGCAATCTTGTTTTTTGTATCTCCAAAAACATTATCCATTTTTTCTGTAGTCACTTGCTTTAACACAAATAGCAGACTAAAAAGAGTTAAAAATCAACAATATTAGAGACATAAGTGAGGTAGGATCCCATGCCATAACTAGTGTTAAGGATAAAAATTTGGCCCTGCAGAAGGTAATCTGGCTGAGTGTAAGGTTATGCCAGGAATCAGAAGTGGTTGGAGGCTAAACTGTTCCTAGGTTCAGGCTGGTGCTGAGATCTATCAGCACTGCTATGACCAACAACAATTTCTCCACTGTTTTAAACCAATCTGAGCTTACTTTTTACTGGCAAATTATCAAAACTGCACACATGCATTTAAGTTCATAAAGACATCTATCCCTGCAAGAATTACAACACATGTACCAAAGACCCAGTCTAGTTATGTTAATCAGATTTGCAGGCTCACCCTGCCTTTACAAACCCCCTATAGGTGTTTGATTGCAAAATGGCTCATGCCTGCTCTCCTGGGAAGCTGGGGTGTCCCAGGGGATCTGGGGGACTGTAGGTGCTCTGGTGGGGACAACCAGGCAGCTGCTGCATCAGTACCAGAGAAATTTTGGCCAGTTTTGAGAGCTAGTATGCAACACCTCACCCTCTACTGAATATATTTTATCCATCCTTTGAAGTTCATCATGAACTTTGTTTTTACTTTGCAGCTGTTTGTGTGAGTACAGAAGCCCTGTGCACATGAAGCGGGACACAAACACTACAGAATTGCTGCTCTTGCTCTTTAGCTGTTATCTTTGCCCTTACCATTTTCAGTGCTCTTTCTATATCAATTCCTTGGCTCCATGGCACTGCAGGGTTAGCCAGGCAGTCTCCAGCACTGCCTCTCCTGGAGACATCCACACGCTGCCTTCGGAGGTACCGGAAAGCCTCTGCTATGACCAGGACTGCATCATGGGTCAGTGCAGACGTGTACTGCAATTGATACAAAGAGAATATAGCAACAAACTGCAATTTTAGAATTGCCCCAGGTATCACATCAAGTCCTCCTCTTTGTTAGAACAGAAGAATCATACTTGCTGTTCAGGGCTGGTGACTGATCTGCTGGTCACTGTTTAGAGATGAGGTGCAAGGCTACATAAAACAAAAATTCCATGGACCCAAAATTATCCAGTAAGCCAAATTCACACCGATATTTTTTTATCTTTTTATCAGTAAGTGGATTTGAACCTTCTTAAAATAGTTTATATCACTACAGGGGCTGGAAAAAATCTGAGGTATTCCTGTCTCCAGAAAGCTAGAGAGATGAACTGCACTTTGAAAACCAAATTTGACCCCAAGATGTCTTATCAACTGTGGACCCTTTGCTTGCTTCTCTGTCCTTCAGCTGGTGCTTTGTAACAATTCCACCTATTTCAATTAACAAATTAAAAATATTTTCATTCTGTATAGCATATAGCAGAAAAATAACAATACTAGTTCACAGTTACATAAAATTTCAATTTAATTGGAAACTTGCTCATCTAGATGAGCTTACTACAAATGTCTTCAATTCCATGCTGCACCATACTGATACCAAAGGAAAGCTCATATTTGAGTTTTTGCATTAGGCATTTTTTTTTGTTTTTAACAAGATTGCCAAGAGAGCTTTGACTTGAAGTTAACATAAATCATTTCTGTTTGGATCACTATCCTGATTAGGTAGCATCTGTGGCAAGGAATAGATAAGATTACTTTTCTTAGGAAACAGCTATACAAGCAAGTAATCACAAAATACACTTTAGGCATTACATCACCTTGGTAATTCACCATCTGCCTTCCCTTACTCCACAATAAATCTGCAGAGGGTGCTAAGCTCTGTGGAGCAGCAGCTCTGGAACAAATCCCCCAGACAACTTAACTTACATGTTCCTGTTGCTGTCAACTTCATTCACTGCTTGTTGCATGTTATCTGGTGACACCCCCCCAGTGCTATAAATTTAGTATCAACTAGAAAATGTCATCAAAGAAGGATTTTTTTGGTATTTTTTCCACATGTATCTGTTGTCTGAAAGTTCTTCCCTCCTGGAGTGGCCTGGGCTTTGTATATGACACCCCTGGGTTCCACTGGCATTACAGCACACCTGTACTTTCAGGGTCTGTGTAAAGGACACCCTCTCAGCATGAACCTACTGGGAGCAATTGAACATGCTCAGTCTGTAAGAGCAGATTTCAAGTCCCTTGTAAGTGAACCTCAATACCTCCACATCATTTGTAAGAGAACAAAGGAAGAAATGAAGAATGCAAGGTGCACCTGCCCTTCTTTTGGCTCTTTGTGGTCCCATAAGATCTTGCCACCTAAGGAACCTTGTGGTGGAGTTCAGGACACAAGACCTGCTGCCCATGTGTGAGTTAGAAAGGCAGAAATCCAAGTTTCAGCTGCTTATTCAGCTAGTATCTTTGTGGACAAGATTTATTATATTCAGAAATTAATTCTATCCTGTAGGGCAAGATAGCACAATTGGAGGTTCTGGATTTCTTAAAAGTATTATCTTACTGCAAGTTTTTCAGTTTGATACCAAACCACAAGAACCCTGCACAGAACAAAGGGCATCTGCATGTGCAGATCAAGAGAACTGTGTCATAAAAAAGAGTGCAAAGGTAGGGCTGTGAAGAAGGTGATAGAGCAGACATTTCACTGAGCTTTAAACGACAACAGATTAAACTTACTGGGAGTGGGTGGTGGTTCCTGCTCTGACTGTACAGCACAGGCACTCTTCTGATCCTGCCCACCTTTACCTCTCCCTGTGATGCTTTGCAATAATTACTTTCTCCTCTTTTAGAAATTTAACAAAGGTCATACACATCACAATCCACACAATAATACAGAACTGGACAGTAATTTTAATGTATTTGTTCCTGTATTAAAAAAAGTCTTGTAGTAGCTGTCCAATCTAGCACTACATAAAACTTACACATTGATAATTTTTTCAGCAGACTGCGTCAATTGTCAGTAACCTTAATGCAGCCCCTTCCAAGTCACGCCAAGAGAGCTATCTAATTTTCTACTTTATTTGAATTCTACTTATAAATGCATGAGCATGCAAAGAGAAAAAAGAGAGAAAGAAGGGAAAGGCTGATAAAATACAGAATAAATTAAACATCAGGACTTTAATCTCTAGGCAATTTTATTTCCTAATCAAAAATATTGTACATCAATTCTTAAGTATGCTTTTTGTCTGATTGACAAATACTGTGCACATTTCTATAATGAGCTGCACATTTGTGGAAAGGTAATGTAATCTTTGTGTTTCTACCATATACTTAAGATTCTTTTTTAAGGAGGGAGAATAATTTTTTCCTCAAGGTAAATTACTTTCAAGTGGAATAAAATCATCTCAGGTTAACTTTGTATATTTCAGAGCTTTTAAGATTAGTAGGATACTTATCTTCACTTCTGCATCAGTGCCAGAAAGCTTTAGAAAGCAGGCCTAAGTCCTAATCCACAGGCAACAATACACTAATCTGGTTTTTGTGGGCCTCTGTTTGCCTTTCTCTGCCTCCTCTGAAATGCCAGAAAGGCTGTGAGATGGTGTGGGATTAAGAAAATTTTCCTCCCTCAGAAATGACACAATCCCAGGCATGGAACAGCATCTCTCCAAATGGCACCAGACATTAATGAATGGCACTGCAGAAGGAGCAGACCCTCGTAAGCAGCTCCTTTTCTGTCTCTAGCCCAGCCCAGGGCTACTCCCTACCCTGGGGCCCCCATGCATGGGACTGGGCTAGATTTTTCCTTCCTATCTAGTATTTTAATGCTTTCCTGAATTTTGTCTTACTCATACCAACACATTACTCCAGTTTATCAAAGTAATTTTGAATTCCAAATCTGTTCCATCAATTTGCATGTGTCCTTCCCAAATCAAACATGAAAGCCATGAACTGTCTTGTCAGGGCAGCGGTTTTTAGGTTTGGCTGCCCTGAGAAACCAGTCCGTATACTACCATACCCAGGTTTCATTCACATATGGATAGCAGTGAAAAAGAACAGATCCCACCAAAAGAAGAAGAGAAAGAAGGAAGATTACTAATATGCAGTGCTCCTAGAAGATTTTATGACTTCTGTGCCTGGACAGAATTTCCCTGATGCACTCCTTCACAGGACAGTGAACAGCATCCCCCTCTATGATAAAGATACTGAGGCAGAAAAGAATCCGGGTGAGATAGTAAAAGGTTGCAAGTTTCCTAATAACAGCTGCATTTACTTCATCTAATCTGTGACAGTTTCGGTGAACCGGGACTTTCATCCAAAAGTTTTTTTAAAAAAATTATTAATTTCCGTTTTAATAGCCAGGCTATTTAAGTAAAGGACAGTGGTGCAAAACAGAGGCTTAGATTATGAGGTAACTGCCAGTGGTAACTAGGAGGCGGCAGTGGCTCCTTAGTGAATCCAGAGCTACTTCATTTTGCATGTGAAATTCTCTATTACCATTAAAATGGACTAGTAATCCACATTTTGCATCTAAAACCTCATCTAACTAGCCCCCATATCCAGCCCAAGACTAACTCAAGAGGTTTACATTACAAGCTTTTATATCCAATGCACAGTGACAGGATTTGCCAGACCAAGCCTTTGCTTCGGAGGAGCTCCCACCATGGTGGGCACTTGGTGTAACAACCTCTGCCTCTTTCTTCTGGAAGGACAGTGAATGCTGTGACATATTCTCATTGGGGATCTGTATCATACTCATGTGTATATCTGGGGTTAAAAACTCTCAAAGAATTATTAAAAGCATATCATGTCCATCACTGATAGGTTACAATAAATACCTTTAATGGTGAGTTTTTGGCTTCAGGGAATTCCCTTTCATCAAGCCTCATCCAGCGCTGTAGAAACTGTTGAACCATTGGATTTTCATTATTAACAATCTGGAATCCAGTAATGTTGGCACCTCCATGCATTACTCTTTCCAGAACAATGTCCGTGAAACCCTGGGAGGACACACGTAGAGAAAAAAGAATCATTGTCATCCAGAGCCACTTTCCTCTGGTTCAGTTTTACCTGCTACAAGTGCAGCAAAGGACACTGCCTAACATCCCTCTTGTTAGCTGAAAATATTCTACCAAGGAGACATCTACTATCACAATTAGGATTTTGATACTGGCATATTTTAACATTTTCTTATTCTTTGCAATAGAAAACTTCCCTTTTGGGTTGTGGCAATGTGGTAGGTAATATTTGCCAGCCAGAAAGAAAACAGCAGGGAAACTTGAAGTACCATTTCCTCTTTTGTCCTGATCATGATAAAAACTGGTCAAGGACCTCAAATCCCATTTGTACAGCAAAGTGAACACAAAGGTTCAGGGCTGGGAAAGAAAACCACTCCATCTCTTGCCAGGCACTTCTCCATCACAGCATCACTCAGCACATCACGTGCAAGCAGAATGGGATGATTCTCTCCCACTCTGTTGTTATTTATACCTGAGGCAGTAAATTGGAGTCTTTTTGATTAGTATGACTTGATTGCAGTCATGTTTATCTGAATGTCAATGGTTACACATACTAAAAGGCAACCCAGAATAAGAATCTCTGTATTTCTATGCACGAGCTAATCAGCGAGATCATGTCTGCTTCTTATAATGCAAAATGATGCATTTTAAAGTCATACAGTACTTATACTAAATAAGGATATTTAAAAATTTGTCTTTTCTACTTTAATCACAACTAAACATGAATACAGAGAATCTTTGAGTAATTAGGATTGCCAACTGGAAAGTGAGAGTTTTGGAAAAACTCACATTTTTCTACTCACAGTAGGCATAGAACTTAAAAATGAGTCTTCCTGCAAGATTAATTACAATACAAGACTTTTTGTAAGGAATTTAAGTAGATGGTGTTTCAAAATCATCACAAACATCCCTGAAAGTCAATCCTACTTTCCAGAAGAAGCTCTGATACAGATAGAAATGTACAGCCTCTTCCTGGTAGGTCAGCACATGCATAGGCACACCCTACACTCTGAAATACAAAAGAAAGGCTAAACAGCCTTGGTGGTTTACTTGATAGAATTGCTCTAATTTGCAGCTTTTTACCACTTATACAGAAACATGCTACAATTATTTTTCCTTGAGTGCTTAAATTCAAAATACACTTACAGAGAATTACAGTCACAATTTATGAGGATAGAAACATCTAATTTATGAGGATAGAAATTACTGGAAAATATATAGTTAAATTATTACTTTAAAATTAGTAGAGGACATGACATTTTCTGACAAAAGAAAGTGAGTAGAGATGACAAACCAGTTATAGCATTTACTGAAGCAATTTCTCAAAATCCAAGTACTCATCCATGCATTTCCACTTCCTGATTAAAGTTTCCACAACCTGAACAGAATATTTTACCCTCTAAAATGCAGCTATACTTTCCATGAAGAAAAATTCTTACCAGGTTAGCTAACATGTAGTGATAGCCTCTAGAATGTTTGCCAAGGATTACAACCTGTGTGGAGAAAAACATTGCATATTATTCAGTTGTAAGAAGATGACTCTTAACTAGCGGAAAAGAGACAGAGAATTAATATTTTGATAATCTTCCATGTTCAATCCATGGGCAGCACAAGTATTGCAGATCTGTGGCATTACAGACAAGATATAGTCCTTGGTGTTTGTCAAACACATGGACAGAGTACCACAAAGAGTAACTCCCAGGGCTGGGAAGACTCTGCTTGCAGAGATGACCTTACCTGGCAAATTCACTCTTGTGATCAGTGTCCTCCCTGCTGACCAGGTTAATTTTAGTTATCAGTTCAAGTATTTCTGCTCTGAAATGAGGTAATGCAGTATCTACCCAAACTCCTCTTTATTTTGTTCCCTGTTTGTGGAGTGTAGGAGAGGTGCAGGACACAGCCTATCATTATTACTGTATTTATTTAGTTAGATCTTTAGAAATATCTTTATATAGATATCTTTCTTTTTATATTTATTTATATCTTACTGTATTTATTAACGTGTACCAGCACAGCAGGGCTGGGCAGGCTCCAAGTTGTACAGGGAGGTCCCTAAAAGAACCCTGGCCAAGCCTTTTCATGTATGAATGTCTAAAGTTAAATTCCCAAAGTTATAAGCAGTGACCTTCATTGCCTTTTGACAGGTTCCAAAAGGCCTCAAAACCTGTCATTTCTGGTGCATATAAATGTATACATCTGACCTTACAATGTTTTGTCAAAATTGCCACTAAATGTTATGTTGCACATTCCACTAAGCAACATCGCCTGCCCTGGCTGACCTCACTTGGGCATCTCTCCGTACAAACAGTCATTACATGGAATTGCTAAGGGACAAAAGGGCAGCAGGATGAACTCAGCAGCTGGATTCTCTGAGGGTAATGGGGAACAGTGGAGGCAGCACTGTCTGGCAAGCCTGAACTCTGCCATCCTGTGTGCTCCCCCCACTCCAGGAATCCTGTGCTTTTGCACAAGGAAGGAAAACAAACACTTCCCATGTCTACACAGCGGACAGCTGACTCACCAGCAATGCCACTTGTGCAAAACTGTGCCCTTGCCTTCAGATTATAACCTCAGAAACATCCATCCAGTCCCACAGCCATCAATTGGAACAACATCCACCAGTAAGAATTTAATGTATAATTGTGCTGATTGCATGCATGTCAGGACATAATCTATTCTAACCAGGCTTGCTGGGTTAAAACCAGCAAACATAATGCTGGCAATACACACAAGTATTATCATAGTTTATGTCCTACAAGCAGCTCAAGCAAACAGACGATGCTTTTTGATGAACCATCTGCAAATCTATACATAACCATACAAAGTTACTCCATGATCAGAGAAACACACTCCAAAGACCACACTTTAAAAGAAAGCGTAACCATTTAATGTCTTTGCTAAAAACAGATGACATTGAGTCACTGACTTTAGATATACTGTTGAGCCTGCTCAAGTTCTTGATTAAATTATTAAGTTCCCAATTGCCTCTTTGGATAGTATTGTCCTTAAGAGATGCCATTTCCTTTAAATTCACAATTAATTCTGTAGGAATTTGCATACTTCCATCAGCCTGAAAATAAACTGTTGTTCAAGTCCTCTTGAGAACTGTATGTACACTCTGTTGGTAGAAAGCATCTGCTTTCCTACACTCACATTTGTTTTCTGTGGAAATATGCAGGCTTCCTTCAGATCATCTGGTGTGCATGCTATTTGCATACTGAATTCTCTGTACATTTTAATTTCACCTTAAAGGCAGGTTAGAGACAACTTATTTAAGAATAACAATTGTGGTTTTAACCTTAACAACAAATAAGAAAGCTTTTACATTTCTATCCAGAAATGTATTCATTTAAGAGAAAAATATCACCACAGATGAAGTCTGTAAGAGGCTGTAAGAAAAACATACATGGAACTGCTACAGGCATCAGGAGCAACACTGAAATAGCAAATGTAGGACTCATTAGCATAGATCAGACTCAACTTTCGTCTCATCTGTTGTCATGTCTTCAAAATGCCTCTGTTTATTAAACCTTTGAGAGGTCCAACATACTACAGTCAAGTTGTAATTCATAAAGCATCTTTCAGAAGTGACCTGACAGCATTTCTATTCATACAATCGACCACGCTGGCTCATAACTATTGAACTGGATCTTAACAATGTGTTTAAAATTCACAACACACTACACAGCTGTCCTAAATCTTAACAAGTACAACTCACTTTCCCTCACTCTCCACCCTGCACCAACTGTCCAGCATGTTGAAGGGAGCTGCTGGATTAGCAAGCCCAGCAGAAACAATCACAGACGTGTGTTACTCCCAGGGGAGCCAAGTGATGGATAAAGCTTTTTTATGAAGAAGGAAAACAGAAGTATAACAGTATAACAGGAGTATAACAAATAAATCTTATCAACTGCTGATATATTGTGAAGCTTATACAGAAAGTGGGATATTGAATAGTGGTGGTGAATAGAAAGCCAGGATTACAGGGCAAGGATTTCACAGAGCTATATGTCTTTCGTAAGTTTGACTTCCAAGACTTAATATTGCTTTCACCTTGACTGAAAGAAAAGCTTATAAGATTTTACACTGAACAAAGGAGAAGAGAAAAAAATAGCTGGAAACCATCATGAATAATTCAGATTTCTGATCCCACATAATTCTTGCTTTGTAGATAAAAAGATCATAATGTCAGGTTTGATATAGAATCAAATAAAGTTTGTGTTTTTAATTAACTCTTTGGATATTTCCAATTAATTAAGAGAACATCTAGAGGGAACATAACTAAAATGTATTTGCTTTCAAAATAAAAGTAAAATCTGCTGGTCAGCAGCAGGCTTACTTGAAGTGCAGACCTATATGCCAGATTGAGAAATTAAATCACCATTGGCAATTTTACTTTTCCTTCTGCCTAGGGGAGTTATTTTTTGAATGCTAGCATAAAGACAATTTTGTTTCCACTGCATCAGTCATCATTATAACAAATAGGCAACTACAAATTTTTTGCCTTTTCAGATTTTTCCTAAAGTTTCGAAGGCAGCACTAAAGCTATTAACTGGCTAATATTAAGTTGGTATTTACACTGTGGTATTTCTAGAGCAAAAATGGCAATTCTCTCATGAGGACACCCATGTCTTTCCCACATTGGTGAGCTCAGACTTGTACACAGCTCTTCAGATGCAGCCTCACCACTGCAGAGTGAAAGGAAGGGGCACCTCTAGTGACCTGCTGGCCATGCTAATCCAGTGCAGCCCAGGATGCTGTTGGCCTCCTTTGCCGTGACAGCACAGGGCTGGCTTGTGGTCAGCTCGACTGCCAGGACCCCAAGATCCTTCTTTGCAGAGCTGCTTTCCAGCCAGGAAGCCTCTACCCAGTCTGTACTGGTGCATGGGGTTGTTCTTTTTCAGGAGCAGGGCTTTGCACTTCCCTTTGCTGAACTTCATGAGGTTCCACTCTGCTCACTTCACCAGCCTGCCAAAGTGCTGTAGCACAACTACTTGGTGTATCACTCCTCCTAACCTGGTATCATCTGCAAACTTGCTGAGACTGCACTCCATCCCACAGCCTTCAGATCACTCAGAGAGAGGTTAAAGAGGATTAGCCCCAGCACCCTCAGGGTACCCCAAATAGCAACTAACCTCCAGCTAACCTCTGTGTTGCTGACCACAACCCTCTAAGCCCAGCAGTTCAGTCATTTTTAAATCTACCTTCCTGCCTCCGTGAGCTTTAATTTTAAAAAGGCATTGAAAAATATAAGCTAAGAGGATATGCTTGCACTTTTACTGAGAGAAAGAGCTATCATGAATTTGGCAGCACTGAAAGGAAAACTACCATATCAAATTAACACCTGTAAGGAGCATATCTTTCCTACACTTGAATCCACTGCCATCTGGTCAGTTCAGTCTGACCAGGAGGCCAGACTAAAGGACTTATTAACCTTTATTTACAAATGAGAAAAGAAATTAAAAAACTAGATCACAAAAGTGCAGATTACCTCATCTACAGCTCAAAGACACAATATTTTATGAGTCTATTAGATCTTTCCATAACATATAATACTGATGCTGACAGGCAGTATTGCCACAGAAAAGGTCTGAAAATTTTTACTGTGCTTTTCATACCTGACAAGTGGCAGAAATATGCCACTTTAATGGAATGAAAGGCAGAGATCTGACCTGCTGTAATGTGTCTTTCCATTTTGACCATATCTGGGAACAATGAGGCAGTGTTCACTCTAGAGCTCTTCTTTCCTATGTTTTAGTAAGACAGTAGTAAGCAAAATGAAATTTCCCTTAAGATCAGAGTCAAAAAGTGTTGTTTTTCTTGAGGTTATTTATCCATTAATTTGGGTTCCATTCTTACAAAAAGCCTACACTTGAAAAAGAGTCTACTGTTTTTCAAATGTACATGCACATTTCTGAGGACAAGAGAACTTAGCTTCCTTTAGTTAGACAGTAATGTGCCTTTACACCTCACTATAGATATACAATTATTACACCTTTGCCTTCAAAGCAGTGAGCAAATGTCAGAAGTGATCACACAACTCTCTTTCCCACAGCAAACAAGTAAAACTGATAAATGGACCAGGGATAAAAAAATTTTAACAGTGTCATCAGGATCAGCTATCAGTGTTGATTGCACTTCATGGGAACAGAGGGATATCAAGCACAGCAACAACTGTCTGGCAAGCCTAAATTGCTGTGGAGCACACTGTCTTCTCACCTGGCTAGCAGGTCAGGTGTTTTCTAGCTCCCAGCCCTATTGAAAGCATTTCTGTTCTGAGGATGGAGTTACTTGAGTTACTGGAGTTATCTCAGATCTGAGCAGCTCCTACCTACATTGGATTGAATGACTGAAAAGCTGTGCCTGGTGATGCAACACCCTACTGAACCAATGGTACCAGCTAATTTGTCTTTAGGACAAAATAAAGGAGAGGAACAGAGCATCAGGGTGACCATCCAATTAGTTTAATAGAAACTGAAGGCAAGGCCCAAAA